GGGGGGCGGGAGAGGGGCCTGTCCTCCGGAAGGAGAGAAGTCAGTGCGACCCTTGCAGGGCCGCGCGGATGCGGGCCCAGGGCAGGTTTCAGGGAGCCACGACGCATCTCGGCATGAGTTTATCACACGCAGGACTTGGCATATAACAGTACTTACTACTTGTATTTGAAGTTGTTCATTGTTTTTCTGGAATTTAGACTTAACTGTGCACCGCATTTCATTGCTGAATCTGACAACCCTACCGATGGGCTCAAATTGTGGCTTTTAGAGAAATGTGTGTTTCTTGAGCGACCTGAGGTTTAAAAGGCCGTGGAATTCAAAGCGGCTGCCGCCCCGAGGGTCCAGCTGCCCCTTAGTCTCCCCTTCCTCCACCTTCACTCCGTGCACGGGTGCCCGCGCTGGGCAGTTGCTAAAATGAAAGCAGGATAATGTCTTCACATTTTCGTAAAACCAAATACTTTCTGCCTCTATATGTTCCTTTATCACAAACTTCATTTTGCATTTTTTGGAAACGAGTTTTTACCCACTTTTCAGTATTTTCATGCTCATTTTAATACTCTCAATATCAATATTTGTCCACACCATCATAAAAGGAACTGTAGCCCTGATGGGCCGTGCCCCCCATGTGTTGCACTCTAACCGTGGAGCAAACAGGGGTGCTCCCAGGCACCACTCTGCTATTTAACCATCAAGGGCGTGACTGTGAGCAGGACTGAGCAGTACACACATGAATGCTCTCCTGGCCAGCACCCATGCTGATTGGGCAGTGCCCCTACCGTATTAGCTGCTAAATAGCTCAAACATTACCCCCTGTATCTGTGGTTATAAGTGTCATCACTGGCCTCTTAATGGCTAATGAGAAAATTATCCAGGACTCTCCTCATTAGCCTAGCATTGTATGTACAGCTAGCTGTCATGTTTCTGTCCACCTGGGAGTGCTCTTGGCTTCCCTGCCATTTCCCTTCTAAGCCCACTGGAGCATGGCTATAGCATGGAGGACAGGCTCATGACCCTCGCAAGCTCTGGTCCTTACCACTGAGACACTGTCTTGTCCTTTCATGTTAAGAACAGCTCATCACTGTTTTAGCCATCCCCACCAAGAATGGCTAAAATTAAAAGGACTGAAGATACCAAGTTTTTGAGGATGTGGCAGGTGGAACCCACATACATTGCTCATGAAATAGATACAACTGTGTTGGAAAACTGTTTGGCAGTATTATAAAACCTAAACATGAATATTCGATAACCAGCAGTTCCTTGCCCAGTTATACACCCAAGAGAAATGAGAGCATATGTCCACCAGAAGACATGGGCAAAAAACATCCACAGCAATCTTCTGTTAACAGCTCCAAACTGGAAATGACCCCAATGTCTAGAGGAGAAAAGTTTTAAAAAATACTTATGGCATATTCACATGGAACACAAACACACAATCGCAGCCCCCAACAAAGTAGATGAAGCACACAGAAGCCAGACCCCAAAATGTACATGTGATTCCACCTGTACGATGTTCAAAGCCAGGAAAGCAAATCTACCATGCCAGCTGGTGATCCAAGGGACACCCCACCCACCCGGCTCCAAGTGTTCAGAATAACAAGGGCCTGATCCCAATCCTCGCCCTGCCTCTTGGGTCTAGGACAGTGATGGTGAACCTTTTGAGCTCGGCATGTCAGCATTTTGAAAAACACTAACTTAACTCTGGTGCCATGTCACATACAGAAATTTTTTGATATTTGCAACCATAGTAAAACAAAGACTTATATTTTTGATATTTATTTTATATATATTTAAATGCCATTTAACAAAGAAAAATCAACCAAAAAAATGAGTTCGCGTGTCATAGGTTCGCCATCACTGGTCTAGGTCCTCGCCTGCCTCCTGGCCTGGTCCACAGGGTGTTCAGCAGACATGCTGTGAATGAATGACTGAGCAAGAGCAACCTGTGAATTCCTGTGTATATCAGGCAAGTCTCCTAACTTTTCCAAGCCTCAGTTTCAAAGGTAAACTATTAACAACCATAGAACCGATCCCACAGGAAGTTTGAGAAGATCAGGTAAGACAGAGCATGAAAGGTGCTGGAGAGCCAGGCACATGAACCGTCAGTACCTGAGTGTATTTGCCCCCATATTTCCCTCTCCTTTCCCACTTCAAGCAAGGGTTGGCTCAATGCCACTGTCACAGGAGGGAAGCGGGACTAGAGAAGCCTGTGGTTGCCAAACGTTTCTGTGCCAGGCTTTTGTTTCCAAAGTTCCCAGGAAAAGGAAGGGGGAGCAGAGTGAGGGCTCTGAGTCCCTGAATCATGGTGCAGTTACTGTGCAGTGTGTTCACCAGCCAGGGGTCCCTGCATGAGAGCACGAGGGGGGACTGCATTTAGCCTGCGCTCAGCCTAATTGACCCACCACAGGCGTGGAAGAGGAGTTCTACAAATCTAAATCCTGGATTAAGTTAAAACATGATTTTTAAATAAAATCTAAAAACTGTAAGTTTTAAGATTTCATGTTCCTTATCGGGGGACTTCTGAGTCTCTTGGAAGTTAAAGTATCCCTTTCCAGTCAGGCCATGTAGTGGGTCTGGGTTCAGATGCCAGGCGCCACTGATTTGCGTTGGTGTGATCTGTGATAATGGCTCCTGTATACAGGATGCTCACTTTCTCACCCACACTGGGGCCTGGGTTATGTGCCCGGTGCCCACTGGTGGACGTCATGTGCAATTCTGCTGCCAAACTCTTACCCTTTCCTCCTGGGATCACGGGTTTCATGGTCACCCTTATTCTCCTCGCCTCTCAGTCTGTGGCGTTCTAGCGTTCTCTCTTCAGTGAGCTGTGTAACTTCAGCATCTCGGTCTCCCTTCTCTCCTTCACTGTATCCTCCTGCTGTGGGACACAGAGCCCACTCTCACCCTCCTCCTGCCTGTCATCACAGCGCTGTGAAAGGGGCACAGCCCAAGCCAGACAGCCAGGCTCGGAGAGTTTGTTCATTTTCAAATGCCTCTGTCACCATCACACCCCCTCCCCCCACACACACACACCCCTCCACCCCAAGCACCCACATCCTAGTGCTTTCCCTGAGATCACCAAAGCGTCCTCGGGAGAAGAGGGGTTCTGAGAAGTGTCTCACTTGCCTGTGGTGCCCAATGGAAGCTTGCCAATCCAACCATGGAACACTGAGAACAGAGAGAAGCGCCTTGGTGACGAGGGGCATTCACCAGGCTCAGCCAGCCCCTAGCTCCATCCTGCATCCTGGAGGGGCCTGAGAAGAGGACAGGAATTGGGTCTAGGTCCTCGCCTGCCTCCTGGACTGGTCCACAAGGTGCTCAGCAGACACGCTCTGAAAGACTCTCTGAACAAGGGTGACCTATGAATTCCTCCTGTTGCCTGGGCTCCCATGTTGGTATGGCAGCTGCCCTGAGATGTGTCCAGGCACCTGCGGTCCAATGAGTGGTCACAGTGGCTCTGTGAGGTGGGCTCCAGCACTGAGCCGCTAGCAGGCGGGTCTCCTGAGACAGTGTTGGGGCAAGTGGCATCAGCTCTTCCCTCTCAGCCCTCCAACCCAGTCCAGCAGTCCACAACTCCTTAGCCAGAGTCCTGTCATTTTCCAGGGTTCAGGCCATGTCAACCCTTACCAGAATCCCCACAGCAGCCTCCTGGGGACATCTCCCACCACCTTTTTCACCTGCAGTCCCTTCTCAACTTGACAGCCAGAGCCATCTTCTGAGCCTGATCAGAGGTCTTCAGGGGCTCCCAGGTAGAGCCCTGTTCCTCTCAGTGTGGGAAGGCCCAACGGATGCCGTGTGATCTGTGCCTGTGTGAATACAAACACGCATGTGCACATCCCATTTCCAATGACAGTTTCAGGCAAACTGATGGCATTGTGGTGTTACCCAACTCAAGGGGTTCACTGCCTGGGGTGTCCTACTCAAGACGTGGTTGTTATTAGGTAGTTTTATTTACTTGCAGCAAGTAAAGGAGATTGACACCCAAAGCTCTGTCTCCCCGGAGGGAGGCTTAGCCATGACTTGTATACACTATTTGGTTAATTACACATTCATTTCTTCTTGGCAGTTGCCTAAACTTATCAGGTTGGGTTCTGCTCAAGCTCATCCTTTAAAGTTGCCTCTGCAAAGTACTGTACTACATTTTAACATTTAGCAGCAATTGCATTTAGTAATATTAAGAACTGCCCAGACTTTGGGGCCTTCGTCTTATCTAACAGTGGCTTTCTTCGACTCTCTAAATACTTCTGAGAGCGTTGTCAGATTATATTCCAGATCTTCTCCCAAAAATAAAGACAGAGAGGTTAGCCTACGTTAACACTTGGCTTTCTTCGACTCTCTAAATACTTCTGAGAGCGTTTAGTCAGATTACATTCCAGATCTTCTCCCAAAAATAAAGACAGAGAAGTTAGCCTACGTTAACACTGGGAAGGCACATAAATTGGGGTATTTTTTCAAGTTCAGGAAAAAATGACGACATCCCATAGCACTCTTAACAGCTGGAACACAAAGGTAGTGAACAGAATAAAAGGCTCCAAAAGCACACATCTGCTTTCTCCAAACTCAGAATCAAACATATGGCTGCTTGGAGCCTATACACCAGACACTGTGGTCACAGGAACTTAGGAAATTTCGATTCCTGTGACCAAGTTCAGTAAGTGACAAAGGGACTGAGCAGGTTTCTGTTCCTTTGACACTAAAAAGTGACTCACTGGCAGTGCGAGGAAACCTGGGCAACCATAAACTGAACAACAGCCCTGAAGTGTCGTCAGGGTGGAGAGAATCAGTCTTGGCTGCAGCATCCAACTCCAAGTTCTCAGTGAAAGAAAGCCTGTTGCTCTGACCGTTTGGCTCAGTGGAGTGCTGGCTGGCACTCTGAATGATTGGGGTTCAATTCCTGGTCAAGGGGACGTGCCTTGGTTGTAGCTTTGATCCCCGCCCTGGTCTCGGTGTTTGCGGGAGGCAATTGATGTGTCTCTCTCGTGTCCATGGTTCTCTCTTTCCCTCTCTTCCTTCCCTTCCTCTTTCTCTAAAAATTAGTGGGGGGACGGGGGCGGGGTGAAGAGAAAGCCTGTCATGTCAACTTGGCCCCTGGGCTAGATCGGCATGAAGCAGGAAAGGAGGCCCACCTGCATCTAGCTCGTCAGACCACTGTGTGCACTCCCTGCTCTCCACGCTGGCCAGGAGGACTTGCCTGGGCCTGAGCTGGGGTCAGGACAGAGGGGATGGGAGGAAAGGAGCACAACAGCAAGCACCAGCCACAGTGAGCCAGAAGCCCAGACTTGGGCATGTGGTCAGAAAGGGAGGTCCCAGTCTGCACTGCGGAATCGGGAATTCTCCCACGGCTAGGTGGCCTCCAAACCTGTTTGCACGCAGCAGTGGACATTGGAGGTCTGAACTGGATGAGCAGATATAACTGGATATACGCCAGGCCTGTGTCTCATAGCTGGAAAAAAAGGATCATTTGCAATATACATCCAGCCCTAACACAGAAGAATCTCCAATGACTTGTGCCTGAAATCTCCAATCACATCCTCTTCAGTTGAGTAGCAGAGAACAGAGCATGTCCAAGCATACAGATGCAGGTGTTTCTTGCAGTCCACATGACAGACTTGCCTCACCCAACCTCCCAGCAGCAAGGTGGCAAGCAAAGGTGCTGCCAACAATGGAAAAATGTCTAAGGATCCTCCTCCCGTGGTCGGCAAACTGCGACTCGCAAGCCAAATTGCGGCTCTTTGGCCCCTTGAGTGTGGCTCTTCCTAAGCCTTAGGAGTACCCTAATTAAGGTAATAACAATGTACCTACCAATATAGTTTAAGTTTAAAAAATTTGGCTCTCAAAAGAAATTTCAATCGTCGTACTGTTGATATTTTGCTCTGTTGACTAGTGAGTTTGCCGACCACTGTACCTAGGCCCACCTGCCACTCTTCCCAAATCAAGCACCACATGGGCATTGCTGGTCCCTAAAATGGGTCATTCAGGTCTAGTTAATTCTTTCGAAGTTAATTCATGCAGGAAGTTCTGATGAGCTGCCTGACCATTCCCGTGACCGAGAAAGCCAGCTGGTGCCGGGTCCCTGCATACTCTCTGCTGAACTGGAAACGGCCCGTGGGCCGTAGTTTGCCCACGGCTGACCTAGGCCCACCTGCCACCCTTCCCAAATCAAGCACCACATGGGCATTGCTGGTCTCTAAAATGGGTCATTCAGGTCTAGTTAATTCTTTCGAGGTTAATTCATGCAGGAAGTTCTGATGAGCTGCCTGACCATTCCCGTGACCGAGAAAGCCAGCTGGTGCTGGGTCCCTGCATACTCTCTGCTGAACTGGAAACCAAGCGCTAGCTGGCTGAGGACACATCAGAGGGGGAAACAACACATGTTCTGGACTACCGGCGACTGGCCTTGCCTGGCGTCACTGCGGGCACTGCCAGACAAGACCCCACAGGCCCTGGGCCCTCACCTCACTCCAGAGACAGGCCGACGTGAATGCAGTCAGCAGCCCACAGCCCAGGGTTATTTTAGTCATTATTTGTAGAAGCCGTGTATAGACCCTAACACTGGAGGCAAGTTACATCATTCGGAGTTTAGATTGGTTTTGAATCAGAAATACTCATCTTCGATCCGTGTGAGCTTTACAATGCTTAGGGGAGGCCTCAGATGGAGATGGAGTTCCTTAGAGCAGCGGTCACCAACCTTTCGGACCTCACGAACCACCAGTGGTCCAAGGACCACCAGTTGGCAACCACTGCCTTAGAGAGAGCCTCAGGCTCTAGGTAAAATAGGCATTTTCTTGACTTTACTTAAGCAATGGTGAAACATAGAGAACAAGGGCTTGCACGCCCAGTTGTCCATTTTCATTTTCCTGAAAGCTTCACGGCCATAGTTATCACGAGGGTTCAGGGCCGGCCACACTTGGCACGAGAGTAAAAGTCATTCTGCAAGACAGGAGCAGTGACAGAGCCTCAGGCTCTAGGTAAAATAGGCATTTTCTTGACTTTACTTAAGCAATGGTGAAACATAGAGAACAAGGGCTTGCACGCCCAGTTGTCCATTTTCATTTTCCTGAAAGCTTCACGGCCATAGTTATCACGAGGGTTCAGGGCCGGCCACACTTGGCACGAGAGTAAAAGTCATTCTGCAAGACAGGAATAGTGACACTTTCAGTCTCAGTCCTGTCGAAGATGTGGAAACTGGGACCATGCCTCAACTTGACTGCAGGACTGCTAGAAGGATCTGGAAGGTGAGCAATGGGCATGCATCTCTAATGAGATTCAGCTGACAGCGCCAGGCAGATGAACCCTGCAGCTGCCCAGGAGGAACCTCACCTTCTCCACTTGCCTCTCTCGGGTCCCCACAGAACCTCTTAGGAGGACCAGTTTGCCATTTAGGGGTTGTGTCCCAGAGCTTGTCAATTCTATGATACTGGGAAGCAAAAGGTCAAAGTTGCCAAACGAACTGAAGCTAGGGCAATGGGGATGTTTTTATTTAAAAAAAAAAAAAAGCCAGAGAGAAATTAATCAGGAAAACAGAGGACATATTTCACAAGACAGCTCAGGTTGGTCTCTATATGAAGGTACCACAAAGCTGCTCCCTTCCCTGGGGTCCCTCGTCCCTAGTGTGGGGGCTCAGTGCAATCCATCGAACAAGGAAAAGTAACAGAGGGGAACTCTGCCCTGCCCTCCGTGAAGCGCACACCTGGGCAGATGGGGTGGAGATGGCTCTGTGCAGGCTGGAGGGAGAGCTGAAATGTCCTTGGAGACCAGCATGCATGTAGGGCTCTGTTCTTCAATAGATACTGAGACCAGCAAGGACCTCAGAGGGGGTTCCCCAAATGCAGGTGTCAACCCAACACGGGCACACCACCAGTAGAAGAGTCAGTGCTCAAGGTCTCCATGCAAGAGGGTCCCAGAGAGGTCCTGGTCTCCAAAGGGCACCTGATTGGTACAGTGTGACTTCTCTAGAAAGCTGCCCCCTTCCCCAGAAAGGGGCTGCAGTCCTCATGTGCTGTAGCACTTCCCAGAATAGCATCTGTGTACATCATGCAGATGGAATAAACACAGGGTCGTAAAAAGACATAACCCTGTCCCAGTCCTGGGACATGTGGCTGCAGTTTCAGATTCTAACATCAGAGCATATGTGTGTGTGTATGGGGGGCGGGGGGGGGGGCAGGACACAATGAGCACTGACAGGAACTGGCTGCTGGGAAAGTTCTAACGCTAGAGAGAGGCCAGGGCAGGCATATGGGTGCTGCCCAGGGGCCAGGACCAGGGGTGGTATTCACAAGGCCTCCAAGTTGCTCAAAGGCTTGTAGAGACGTTCTCTAGTGACCCGTATCGCCAGCCCCATTTCCCTGATTCAGAAACTGAGATGGGAGTGAAGTGCTTTTGTCCAAAATCTGAGTCAGTATAGAAAAGGAAATTCACAAAAAAGAAAAAACAAACAAAATACAAACAAGAAAAATGGAAATTTAGTCCTGGGTCCTGAGACTGACATCCCAACTCCCTGGGGCTCTCTTTCCACAAACACTGCCCTCCCTACCTGTCCAGGCTGCCCTCACAGGTCCATGGCCACTTTCATTTGCTTCCTGCAGAGTGGACTGTGGAGCTGGCACCCCACACACTGGCCCCCTAAATCAAGAGACTCAGTTGTGTCATGAGCTCTCCTGAAGGAGGATTTTGTTTTCCCTAGAAAACTGTCAGTGAGCCAAAGACAAACTCAATTTCTCCAATTCTTTTTTTTATAAGACATGCTCAGCTCAGCCTTCCCATCAGCTACTGATAAATATGCAGACATATGTTGCACACTCTATAGAAAGCATCTCGGGCCGAGACGCCTACAGGAAGGTGGGTGCTCTGGTCAGAAGGTCAAATCTCCAAAGTGCATGCTGCTGCTCTTCCCAGGTCACCGGGTCCGGAGCCGCGCCCCCAACAGGGAAGGGGCCATCAGGAGGTCAAGGACTGAATGTTCTTGAGCATCTCCTCAAAGGCCTGTGGGGACGGTGCGTCCGCATTCCGGAAGGTGGCCTGGACTCTGCTGTACAGGCTGAAGGATTTCAGCTCCAGCCAGATGAACCCGAAGCGGTCTTCGTCAAACAGGATGAAGACCCCGGGCGTGCGCTCAGGGCTAGTGAAGCCGTGGCCAGCGATGAGGCCTGTGCCGTAGAAACTGAACAAAGAAAGAGGGAAAGCACAAGGGAGAGAAGAGTGAGAGGGGCTTCGAGGCCCTGCACTGGCCCCAGTCAAGCACTGTGTCATCCCGGGGTGTTCTAAAACACCCTTCATTCCATTCAGACCACTTCTTGCTATTCACCAGCAAGCAGCTCAAGAAGGCTTGTCTTCATAGGGCCCCTGCACAACTCTAAACGTCCAGGAACCAAGCCATCGTAGCAGAGGTGCAGGGCTCTGGGCATGTGGGGAGACACACGTGAGCAGGCGCACTGTGCTCACCCCAGATGGTTGGGATCACCCGACCAAACATTGATTTCTACCACTTCACCCAACTAAAGGAGGAGGACCTCAAGCAGCCCCACCTCACAACTCTGTCCCAAAGCATATATCTTCACAACACAGGCCCAGGTAACAAAAATCTTAATTCCTGGGGTAGTTATGTCAACATTTGAACAATTTAAATATAATCAATAAAGACTTATTGTCATGCAACTGACATTAACTCAGAAGGTCAAACTTTCAAATATCATATGGCCAAGTTTTGAGATCTCTATATACTAGTATGAGGCTGAAATATATTTATCTTTCTCGCTTCTGATGGATGACAAGAAGTCAGGGGCTGGCCTGAATCTCCCAGCATGTGGAATGGTGCCCGAGACCCCCAAATCTCCCGGCCACGCTAAGACACTGCTGGGCTGACGAAGGGAGAGCAGCCTGTGGTTCAGAGGGTTTCCTGGGTGGGGAAAAAGGTCCAGAGCCTACAGGGAGGCAAAGGCTTAGAGAACACACAGCAAATGTTTCCTGCTTGGGCGCTGTGGCAACGCTTCGCCAACCAGACAGAGAAGGATCGCAGCAGGCCCCCCAAGCCATGGAGCCCCTGATATTCAGGATTGGCGTGGAGGACCATCCTACAGCTCGGCCAGGGGTCTGAACCGGAGCTTCCAGATTGGCTGGACCCAGCATCCTGGTGAGCTACTAATGGGCTCTTAGCTGGCCATGAGCTACTAGGACCTGTCAAGTTTTACAGGAATAACAGAGCCTTTTTCTTTTATGGCCTTTCAAACGGGAATGTAATGTACAGCACAGGAAAAATAGTCAACAATAGTTATCCTAATAACTTTGTATGGTGACAGATGGTTACTAGACTTATTGTGATGATCACATCATAAGGTATATAGATGTGATCTGTACACCTGAAACTAATATAATATTGCATGTCAACTATAATAAAAAATTTTAAAACTTTACAAAAATATTTACATCAGGTGAAATTATATTGGAATGCTATTTGTATGTCTTCCTCTGGAAAAACCAAATTCAGTCACTTTTATCATAACTGTATAATAAGAAAATGTAATAATTTTTTTCTGCCAAGCCCATGTAGATACCTAAATCTTTTTCAGGGAGCTCAGCCAGCTGCCCACACTGTTAGTCTATAAGTAAGTGGCCATTTAGACCACTGCAGACACACAACACAGCAGCTGGCCCAGAAGTAAAGGGAAACAAACCTTTATAAATAACCTGAAGAAGGTGGAGAGGGTCAGCTGTAATGCCAGGAGACTGACAGATTATTCCCTCAAAATGCCCACTAAGGCAACCGTACAGGAGTACTTTCTGTAATGATGAAATATTCTAGATCTGCATGTCTAATGTGGTAGCCAGAAGCCATGTGTGGCTACTGAGCACTTGAAATGTGGCCAGTGCAACTGAGGACCTGAATTTTTAATTTTATTCATTTTAGCAAAACTTAAATAGCCCTGGAGTGTAGGGGACTGGGGGCAAGGTTCTCATAACTCATCTACCAGGGAATGGCCTGAATGGCAGGGGTGGGCCCGAGTGGCTGAAAGCAGAGGCCTGAGACAAAACCCTACGAACAGCAAGTCAGGTGAAGAGCTGGCAGCCTGGGGGAGGCCTTGTCCCAAGATCAGGGATCTGGACCTCTGCAGGGAAGGAAGCATCACAGGAGGAAATAATGGATTGACTTCAGAACTACCTTCATTAGGAGATGGATGGAGAACTCATGACAGGCCTTACCTGCAAGGACATCCGGGCGAACTCCAAGCAGGCTTTCTACATGGAGAGGTGTGGGCAGGGGGAGAGTCCGCTTCCTCACTGTCTGCTTCAGTGCTGCCTGACATCCTGCCTCGTCTCCCTTTTACCTTAGTAACTATGTGATGCAAGGCATTCTGGGAGGAGTCTTCACACCTGGCAGTTCTAATACCCCCAGTCTGAGGCTCCCCAAGGGATGTGATAGCTGACTGTACAGCCCAGGAAACAGCACCATCTGTTCAGGTATGAGCTGGAGCTTGGACCAAGCCATCAGAGGCTCCCATTCTGGTGCAGCAAGCCCTGCCGCTGGCCTGTCAGAGCCAGGTCCTACCCCAAAACTGGTCTTCGCCCACCTCCTGTCCTTACCACATCCTGCAGGTTCGGGGGTAGTTCTCGTTCCTTGAGCTCACACCCACAGGCAGAACAAACTGGACAGGCTCCTCCTTCAAAGGTGCGGCCCCTTCATTCCCGGGCTCTCTGACCTCAGTGGGTGGCCCGGAACCCTCGCCGTCCTCAGTCCTGTCTTCTTGCCGCTGCTGCTCTTGGCGCACCTGCTCCTGAGCCTCCAGGACGATGCGGGAGAGCTCGTTGAAGTTGCAGAGGTTCTCGACGTTGGGCAGCTGGATGCGGTGCATGAGGTCGATCTCTACTGTCTGCTGCCCGGCGGGGATGTTGGGGTCACCCTGTGGATCGAGTGGATGGTGGTCAGCAGGGCTCAGAGAGCAGCAGAAACATGCTCCAGCCTAGATCCCACCTGTGGCCAGGTGAGCTCACTCAGCGTTCCTACTGACTTAGCAGCAACCCCTTGAGAAGTAGGACCATTTTAGAAGCCCTTAAAAAACTAATGCCTAGCCAAACCGGTTTGGCTCAGTGGATAGAGCGTCGGCCTGCGGACTGAAAGGTCCCAGGTTCGATTCCGGTCAAGGGCATGTACCTTGGTTGCAGGCACATCCCCAGTGGGAGGTGTGCAGGAGGCAGCTGGTCGATGTTTCTCTCTCATCGATGTTTCTAACTCTCTATCCCTCTCCCTTCCTCTCTGTAAAAAATCAATAAAAAATATTTTTAAAAAAACAAAACAAACAAAAAAACTAATGCCTAGAGGAGCCAGCTCCATCAGTGAAGGGATCTTTGAGGACAGAAAATGACAACACCGACTAGTGATCTGCTGAGGGTCTGTAGGCACCCAGCACAGTGGCTCATCTGCATTCAAAGACCACAGGTGGAAACTAGCCTGTGTGACAACTGAAGCAACCAGGGCTTAGAGAACTTCATCCTCTCCCAGGGTCAGGCAGAGGGCAGCAGGCCTGAGAGGCCACCAGATAGATCTGCCTGGAACACAGAAGCTCCTAAGCCTGAACCCAAGGAGATCCCCCAGGCCCTTCAGCTTTCCATGAGCCCAGGAGCATGCCAAAATCCCTGCTGGAGAGGCCCCGTGCCAGGGACGCAGCCCTGGTTCCAGGCTCTTGTTCACATGAGCTTTCCCTAAGCAGAGGCATCCCGGCAGACAGGTTCAGGAGCAATGCTTTGTGAGGACTAGGAAGTGGTGCTGCTTCTTCAGGATGCTTTAGTGTATCTGCCAGAAACTCACCCCACCAACTACGCAAATGACAGGTGAACCCAGAATGACTAGTGGCCCCTGGAGTGGGCAACACACGGCCTACGTGGCTCAACAACCCTCCATCTGCTTTCACAAGCTGCTGAGGACAGGACAGGCAGTGGGGCCTATGTGCTACTGCAGGGCGTCTCCAATGTGCTGGCCCTTGGGGTCAGCTGGGCAGGCTGTGAAGCCCTTACCCAGCCCCCTCCCCATGAAATTAGAATTTATAGGGTGGGGCAAGGGCATTAGTGTTTTCTCAACTTCCCATTCTCAAGGTATCTGTGTGCAGCCAGGAAAAGAGCCCTGTGGGGAAGCGGAAGTGCTCAAAATCCCCTAAGATTCTGGTTGGGTGGGTCCGGTCAGGGCCTGGGGATCTGCACTCCCAATCAGCTCCCTGGTGAAGCGGTGCCACAGGTCCCAGCCATATCAAGTAGCCAAGGCGCAGCCCGAGTGCCCTGCCATGGCCAACCTGACAAGTGCACACAGGGCTGGACCCGCCAGGTAGCCCCAGGACTTACCGTGATCTTCGTGACCCTGGCATGCTTCCCATGGAAGCTGAGCATGACAATCTCTAGGCCGTGGCTGCCGTAGGTGCCTTTAAAGAGGCCTGGCCTGATGAGATCGTCCGGGTGGCTGGGCGGGAGGTAGATGCGGCGGTAGGTCAGGCAGTTGCTGTGGGGGGAGTGGGGAGTGTGACAACATGGCAGAGTCCCACGGAGCTGCCGCAGTGCAGAGCCCATACCTCCTTGTCCTACCCCAGGGGGTGGGCAAGACAAGCAGACTAGAATGGCCAGGTAAGTGGGGAGCAGGGGTACCCCATATTCCTGAGCCATGCTCACTCCACCCACAGGTGCATGGCACCCTCACACCTCCTCTGATTCCAACAAGGCTTAACAGGCTCATATGTCTCTACCGGGCCCCCCAAGGCAGCTGGAGTGGAGCCCTCAGAGGAGGGAAGGGAATGACACTCCTGTTCTGTCACCCTGGGACAGGAACCCAAGACTGCGCAAGGGACATGGCAAAGGGACTAAACGGGCTGCAGGGACAGGGCCCAGGGACAGAGAGGCTGAGAAAGCAGGCCTCCCAGGGTGGATGAGGGAAAACAACCCTGAGGATTAGGCACATACAGCAGGCCCATAAGATGGAAAACATATGGGGTGCAGGCGGGGAGGTGGGGATGGGGGCTGTGCTCAGGAGTACCAAGAGAGGGAGATACTGAGTTAATTCTCCCACAGAGACTGCACTCACAGGACCCACAGAGAGGGACTGTGCTCAGTACCCACGAGGGCGGCTGCACTTACTCATACTGACTGGTGTAGATGAACTTCATCAGGATGAGCTCTTGCATGTGCTCGTGGAAAATGTCCTCCAGCGTCCGCCCCCATTCTTCCCTCAGCCATGTTCGGAATTCCTTCCAAGAGAACACAGGTCGTGAAAACCATCATGACACAGGGGCATGGAGCCTGCTGGGATCCTGATTGGACAAAGCAGCATTTTTATAGCTGTGGGCACACCTATGACAAAGGAACCCACCTGGGTGGACAGATGGAGACAGGGCTGGGCCAGAGAATGGGGAACTGCCCTGCGTTTGGTCTCCCAGCACCTGGCCTCCCTTCCTGCTAGGCGTGCCACCAATGAAAAATGGCCTCTGGTCCCTGCTTTCCCAGAGCACAACGAGCCCAGACTTCTGGGGAAGGAGCAGGGGTCCCCTCAGGTGAGGCTGGAACCATAGTCCAGGCCCAGAGCTCCCAGGGACAGCACATGAGCCTCACTTTGTGCCCATGAACCAGGAGGTGTCTATGCTGAGCCTAGTTCTCAGGGTTCTGCGAGAGCAGCAGCACAGCAGGGCTCGGCCGCCAAGTCCCATGATGGGGAGTTGGCCAGAGGTGCTTTCTGCAGCTGCTGCTGAGAACATGGTACAGCCTGGGTCCAGGGACTGTGGGTGGATTTTCCTTTGTCAAATGTACCTTCATAGTAATGTTGTATGTTTGGTAAGTGCATGCGCAAACAGTCCCCAAAGCTCAATAATTCATTACAGAATCAAACACTGGGAAGGATATTTAGTGCTTAATTGCTTCATTCTGCACATTTAACTTAATCCACAGAACTGAGTTCCTAATTCAATATAGTGTTTCTAATGATTATCTAGAATGAGCTCTATAAACGGAAGCGAAAGCAATTTACCAAAACAAAAGAGCTACAATCTGTCAATTGCTTTAGTATGCTACTGCCCAAAATCCGGCAAAGAACAAAAATTACTAGTGAGTAAACAAAACAACTATTAGAACTACAAAGTCAATATATAAAAATCAGCTGAATTTTTATATACTAGCAGCACAAAATTGTAAAATAGAAATTTTTAATTCTATTTACAATAGCCTAAAACAAAACAAAACCACAGGACTTAGGAATAAATATTACAAAATATGTGCAGACCTCCACTGAAAATGCCAACACTGCTGAAAGAAAGTAAAGAGGCCATAATCATAGTCAGAAGTCACTACAGACTGGAGACTCCTCATTAAATCAGCAATTCACAAACTGACCTACAGATTCAATGTCAATCATAATCCTACCAGGCTAGCCTTTCTGTAGAAACCAGCAAGCTGATTCTGAAATTCATATGGAAATTAAAAAAAACTAAACATCCAAAGGAATTTTGCAAAAGAACAAAGCTGAAGGACCCACACTAGCCCCTGTTATGACTTACTTTAAAGCTACAGTAATCGAGATGGTGGTATGAGCATAAGGAGTGACAAATATATTAATAGAACTAAACAGAGAGCCTGGAATCAGACCCACATTTATCTGGTCAGCTGATTTGTTTTTTTGTTTTGTTTTGTTAATCCTCACCTGAGGATATTTTTTCCATTGATTTTTGGAGTAGAAGGGAGGGAGAGGGAGAGGGGGAGAGAGAGAGAGACTGTCACTTGAGGATAGATAAAGTTTTTTTTAGGACACAGAAAAAAATAACCATAAAAAAATAATTTGACAAATTATACTTCACCAAAGTCAAAACCTTCCACTTAAAAATGGCTCAACTCATGGAGTAAAGACCCTTAAAAAAATCAAATACATAAATAACAAATAAAAAGAGAAGCAAGTGAATGTAATGAACAAGGATTTCAATGTTGCCATGGTGAATAATCAGACTTGAGCTAAGCGCCATAGAGAAGATGGCTTGTGAATAGTTCTAATCTTATTTACTTTGCATGAAAAGGCCGAAGTCATTAGGAATACCAACCAGACCCAATTATTTAGAGCAAAGAACTTTGAAATACATGTTTACTATAAAATAATCTTCTAGCATATATATACATAAGGAAAAACTCAGGGGCCTAGAACATATAAGAACCAGTTTAATATTTACCCAGGGCTGGCTTACCATATGTTAGCACTGTATAATCATTGCTTAATCTGCACAACGGCCTAGGCCAGTGGTTCTCAACCTTGGCTGCACATTAGAATCACCTGGGAATCTTTTTAAAATCGAGGATGAGGCCCAGAAATCAGGATTTTAAAAAGATTCCCAGGTGATTCTAATGTGCAGCCAAGGTTGAGAACCACTGGCCTAGGAGATGGGTGTTAACATTTTCCTTGTCCTACAGAGGTTTGGGACTTACACAAGTAGAGCAACCTTTTCAAAGTCGCCTAGCTAGTAAGTGACGGAATCAGAGCTAACCCGAAGTCCACGTGCTAACTGGTCTTGCCTTCACCAAGGCCAATACCAGAGCCAACAGGAGCATGGGGGGCATGGCTCACCTGCCCTGGCAGGCTGTACACAAGGCCCTACCAACTGACAACATGTAACAGGAATTTGGAGCATCTTCAGGGCCTTCCACACAGCAATTCCATTTCTGCATGATCCATAAGGTTTCCATGGAGTTCAGACAGTGGGGTGAGGGTAGTAACACCAGGCATCCTCTGGATGGCTCCAGCCAGGCCTGGTGCTAAGTCATTCATGTGTGGTGTCCTATTCAACACTCCAAGATCACTTAGGGCCTGCAGATAATGGTATGGCCCCATCTTATACATAAGAACTGAAGCTCCCAGAGGGTAAGTCACTCAAACACGTGATCAAGAGGGTAATAGGAGAAACATGAATATTTGAGCACAAACCCCATGTCTACCTGCAGAAGAATGGTTATATCCGATTACATCAGAGCAAGATGATGGAATGCTATGCTGAACTAAAATTAAAACTTGTGAAGGGGTCTAATGAGACTAGAAAATCTCTCTGGAGTAATAATTAAGCCTAAAAAAAATATATCCAACTGCGAGAGTGAGATTGTCACTACATCGGAAATGCCAAAAAACATAAAGGGAGGCTGGAGAGTGGGTTTGGAGACGGCTCCTAGGTGGGGCTATATCAGCACCTATTCCTGACAGATTCTGCTGATTTCCTATTTGATGATGATAAGACATCATTTTAGTACCTGGGTACTTCCTTGCCTGTCTCTGCTCTGCTCTGCAGCCCCCAAGTTTTCAGAACCCTTGGGTAGGGGGGCCTTGACAGGCAGGGTCAGGGAAGTCAAGGGGTGGCTGGGCCTTGGCCATCATCCATAAAGACAAGCCAGGCAGCGTCTGCACTGGGGAGGCAGAGTTTGGGATGGCCCGAAGGCTACACTACTGCTCACAGGGATCCAGTCGCTGTGCCTACAGTTTGCAGAGCACATAAGAGAGTCACACAGAATGCACCTGTGAGGCTCAGGCAGAAGACCCTGCCTGAGCATCAAGACAACCTGGACTTGGCCTTCAAAGGTGCGCAAAGCTGGCGGAAATCCTGGAACTGGACTTTGCATGTAAGCAAGTGGGAGAATTGGCAATCCCTGTGGATGCAGTTTATGATCCCACAGGGCTGGCTTGGACAACTCACTGATTCCTTCATAAGCAGAATGATAAAGGGATCACAAGCTAGCACAAGCCATCAGAGACTCAAAAACTGGCTGAGACCAAGTTCCCATCAGTAGATGAGTGGATAAAAAAGCTGTGGTACATTTATACCATGGAATACTATGCAGCAATAAAAAAGACTCTCTTACCCTTTGAGCCAGCAAGGAGGGACCTGCAGAGCATCATGCTAAGTGAAATGTCAGTCACAGAAAGACAAGTATCACATGATCTCACTCATATGTGGAATCTAAGTAACAAAATAAACTGATGAATGGAGTGGATTCAGAGACATGGAAGCATGGAACAGAGTGCAGAATCTCAGAGGGAAGGTGGGGAAGGGAGTGTGGGTGGGAGGTAATCGACCAAAGACCTTGTATGCATATATGCATAACCCTCGTACAGACGATAGGGTGGTTAAGGCCTGGGGTGGGAGTGAGTGGGAGGGGGTCAATGGAGGAAAAAAGGGGACATATGTCATACTTTCAACAATAAAGAATTATTTTTTTAAAAAAACTGGTTGAGAAATGCACACCCAACAAATATGTAGATGCTGTAATGAGTGTTCTATATTTTAAAAGTCCAAGTTTTTCTTAAGAAACGGCAATATTATGCTTGCTTCGAAAGCACATATACTAAAATTGGAACGACACAGAGAAGATTAGCATGGCCCCTGCACAAAAATGGCATGCAAATTTGTGAAGTGTTCCCTATTTGTAAAAATTAAAAAAGAAATGACAATATTTGGAAATGGTATTATGACTTAGATCCTCAGAAAACTACAACCCAAAGACAAGTTAAAATTACTTGTGCAAACAAAAGGAAGCACAAAGAAACTCTTGGTGTAGCTGACTTGCAGGTTTACCCACTGCTCTGCCTGGTCTGAAAATCGACATCCCCAGGTCCACCCGTGGGGAGAACAGTGAGGCTCTGAGAACAGCCCGCTCATCTGCCTGTAACTCACCTCCAAGAAGAAATCTGTGCAGCACACAGAAGCTCTCGGGATGAAGGAGAATTGCCTACTGAAAACGATTTCCTTTTGGTCATTCATTCTGAGGGTTGGTGGGTGTGTGGTCTATGAGGACATGGGCCCCTACCCAAGCTCCAATTCCTCCTCCCACCCTGCGGGAATATGATGAAGGCCATCTGTAAGGGTGCTATGGGACCTTGGGAGCCTGGCCACCTTCTCGGTCACAGAAGCTGCCAAAAAGAAACTGTTTACGGATGTGAACCTGGATCGAATAGCTGGTGCTTTTATCTTACACAGCTTGTGCGTGTGTGTGTGTGTGTGTGTGTGTGTGTGAGCACGCCCACCCAGCATGCCCCGTTTGCTTTGTTTTCTGTACTCTATATAATCCTGTACTGTGAAAGCCTGTGTTGCAGTAATTTCACTGGCCTGCACGTAAATCCTAATAAACTCATGTCTTTCACAGCCAGTCCTCCAGGTTATTTGTGGGGAATTGGCAAGCAATACACTGAGATTTCCTTGGACCTCGGCTCTTTGCATAGCAGCGGGGAAACAAAAACATATGTTTGTGTACACAAATCCATATGAGGCCGTTTCTGACAAAAGGGTTAGACACACTTTCTGCACCAACAATGTGAGGATGAACCATGGGAGAGAGCCCTCCGGCTGGCGGCATGCTGATGACGTCTGCTCCTGGTGACAGGAGCGCAGGCTCACCTCCTGCCTCCCGCCAGACATCCGGTGGTACTCCGTCTGGTTGCACTTGGTGGAGAACTCGTCCTTCTTCACAATCTTGAGCATTCATGACAAAGGAGAGCGGGGAACAATACATCAGCTGTGGCATCTCCATCGGACAATGAACCCTCCTCAGTGCTGCACCCCACTCATCTACAGAAGCCCCATATGCCTACAAATCGTGACCAGTCCAGGAAAGGGAGCTCAGGACTACCCTGAGCACGCACTTCCTTCTCAGAGGAGCGGTGCACCAGAGAGAGAGGTGTTTGTGCTTTTCCGAGGAGATTCTTACAGCAGGAAAGAGGGGCTATCGTTTCTTAGTGTTAGAGGTTTTGAAAATAGAACAGTGAGGAATTGTGGTTGGAAAGAACAAATGGTTTTAACTGAATGCAGAACCAGTAGAGGGTTCCAACTAGTGATTCTTTGGGGAGTTACATCACAGCACCACAGCATAAATACACAGAAGGGAAGGAGGTAGAGCCGTTTCCTCCCATTTCCCCTGATCTGTATGGACACAGGGTTATAACTAGAAACACCACTGCAAACTCAGCTGGCACCAGAACTTGGAAGAGCAGGGGAGACCTCACCCCTCGACTGCGTGTGGCTGCCATGTCTAAGGGAGCCCAAGCATACGCTCACCTGAATGTGGCCGTTGTGGGGCCCTCTGTGGCCGTACATGCACTCCACCGTGGCTGACTTCCTCTCCATCAGGTGAATTCTAAACAAGGGCTTGAATCGCATTGGGTCATCCACATGAGGGTCATGGGGAGGCAGGTACATCCAGCCAATAATAAACAAGCCATCCACCTGTGGTGAGGAGAAAGGGCGCATGTCCACGTGAGGGTTACTGTGAGGCACTGAGGCAGAGGTTTCTCCCCCCACAGCTGTCCAGGATGACCATCCCACGTCTCCACACCCCAGTCCCATGGAGAACCTCAGGACCAAGAGACATCAGATGCGCCTGATCTATGGCAATGGGACAAGCACAGCCCCACAACCAAGCGCTTGTTAATTAGAAAGTAATTCTCTAATGTAAAAAAAATGTGCTATAGTTGATAACACTGTATTGTATCACTAGAATTTGCAAGAGTACAACTTAAACGTTAGGTAATGGATGTGTTAATTAACTAGATGGTGGGAAACCTTTTACAATGTATACGTATATCAAATCACCATAACATATGCTTTATAAATCTTGTAATTTGTCAATTATACCTTGATAAGGCTGGAAAAAATTAATTTTTAAATAGAAAAAAAGCAGTTGGATCTGAATCCAAAAGAGCCTTTTAGAGAGAACTTCCAGATCTAAAGTCAGGGGTAGAAAGCGGGGGGGAGCTAAATGACATGAGAAAAAAGCAAGCGGAATAATCCAGAAAGTGTCACCCACTAGGGCCGTGGTCGGCAAACTGCGGCTCGTGAGCCACTTGCGGCTCTTTGGCCCCTTGAGTGTGGCTCTTCCTAAGCCTTAGGAGTACCCTAATTAAGTTAATAACAATGTACCTACCTATATAGTTTAAGTTTAAAAAATGTGGCTCTCAAAAGAAATTTCAATCGTTGTACTGTTGATATTTGGCTCTGTTGACTAATGAGTTTGCCGACCACTGCACTAGGGCAACTGACCTGAGGAAAAAAAGGGAGTTCTGCTTTCAACAGGAGAGACTCATGAGGCAAAACACACTAATAGAATGCGAGGGCTTCGTTTAGGTCCCGATTTCAATGAACCAGCTGTCAAAGGCAGCTTTGAGATAATCGGGGAACCTTCCATATTGGCTATGTCTCAAGTAATAGATATCAAGGGATTATTGCTACTTTTGTAAGGTGTGATGAGAATGTGGTGGATACATAGGAAAATACCCAGATTTAGAGATCCACACTGAAGTACGAACAGATGAAGCGGCACAGGCCTGGGATTTGCTTGAAAATGCCTGAAAACAAACCACCAAGGGGCAGAGACAGAGGCCACAAACGTGGCACCCGATAGGTAACTGCTGAATCCACGTGTGGGCATTGGTAATTCATGCTGCCATCCCCCCTATTCTTGTGTGTTTGAGACAGTGAGTGACAGAAAGTGACAGAGCTCAGATCAAAGGACGGCACAGTCCCCACACACGTGCTCAGCACAAAGGCACCCACGTTCTCAGTGAGGGGACAGGGACAGCCCGGTTTGGGATGGCCCAGCAGTCACTCCTGCTTCCCCAGAACAGCCTGGATCCACCAGGTCTAGCTCTATCGACACTTTCATGCTAATTGGTCTGAGACAAGAGCCAGTGCTGTTGTTCAGTCACGGGTTCCATTTTCCTGTAATTATCCCCTGCTTTCAGAAGCCCTTCTTTTTTTTTACTCTATTACTCACTGCCAGTATGAAAAACAATTATCACCGGCCTGACTAAAAGGAAAAAAAATATGCCCACCCTGGGAGCTGTCTGGCTTGTCTCTGAGAGAATGTTTTAAAAGCAACACTTTTCCCCAGGGATATGAAACATAACACATGTAAATGTGTTTCTTAATGAATGTTTCCACCAAATATGAAGAATATAAAGCAGTATTTATCTCTGTCCAAAACCCCACCTGGTGAGCAAAATATACAGAGTGACAGAGTAACTAGCATCACCAGGCAGCCCACCTGGACTGGGCTCTGAAGAGCTACACCGAGACTACCCAGGGCCCAGAGGCCATTGAGAGGCAGACCACTACCATTATATGATGTGCAGCCAGGCCCCTGGACTGGGCTTCTGGCACGTGCCAACAAGAGGGAACGCAGGAGCAAAACACCAGCACTCCCCAGGGGGCACCTGACTCTGTTTGACTTCGACATCAGCTACAGCAACACCTGGGCCCAGGGCTGTTCAAAAGGCACCATTCAGAGCACATGCAACCTTCACTGTGGGGAGACTGCTGTTCTGCATGAAACCAGCTAGGGCCACAAAATACAACCTGATGAGAAGCTCCTGTGATTACTCGAATGTCCATAGAGAACAGCTGACTTGCCCCTCTGGTAGAAAAGGCACTACGTTCCGTCCATGTGGGACAGCAGTCCTGACTTCACAAGAACCCACACTCGAGGCTCTCGGACTTACCACCACATTCAGCAGTCCTCCATAGGGCCCGATATCTGGCTGCCACAATCCCAAGATGTGTCTGTATCGGTGGAGCACTGCAGGAAGAGAGAAAGAGCAGGTCTTCACTTCAGAGGCAGCCAGTCTTCACTTTATAGTAAATCAGAGGAAAGGGCAGGAGGAGGAAGAGAGAATTATGAAGGCTTGTAACAGCGCCTTATAAACATGTGAAGTGAAGCAAATCTTACCTACAAAAGTTTCTAAAGAATTCTAAGAATAAAACTGTCTTTAAAAAGCATAATAAAACAGCCCGGCCAGTGTGGTTCAGTGGTTGAGCATTGACTTATGAACCAGGAGGTCATGGTTTCTGGTCAGGGCACATGTCCAAGATGCAGGCTCAAGGCTTGTAACAGCGCCTTATAAACATGTGAAGTGAAGCAAATCTTACCTACAAAAGTTTCTAAAGAATTCTAAGAATAAAACTGTCTTTAAAAAGCATAATAAAACAGCCCGGCCAGTGTGGTTCAGTGGTTGAGCATTGACTTATGAACCAGGAGGTCATGGTTTCTGGTCAGGGCACATGTCCAGGATGCAGGCTCCATCCCTAGTAGGAGGCATGCAGGAGGCAGCTGATAGGTGATTCTCTCACATCACTGATGTTTCTCTCTCTCTATTCCTCTTCCTTCCTCTCTCTGAAATCAATAAAACACACACACACATATTTAAAGGAGTGAGCTTTTAAAAAACAAGCATAATAAAACAGACAATTGGGTCATTTTGAAATCCAGCCCCTTTGTAAGCAGCTCCAGGGACAGAGAACTGCTGTCTTGTAAGACACAGACTGGGCGCCTTTCTGAAGTGATGAGCATCCCATCAGTTTACACAACTGAGGAAGCGCAGGATTCTTTAAAAGGTGGGGACAGAGTTCAACATGTCATGGGCCTGTGTATTAAGAATTAAGTTGGGTCATCTCACTTTTTTTAAAAAAATGGCACCTCCCCACCTTATTTAAAAAGCAATGCATAGATACTGACTGAAGACAACTGGAGAGAAGAAATCCCAGTGCCAACCTGAAATCCCACTACACAGAGATGACCAGCTGCAGTAAACATTTTGGAAAATGTCCTTCACTTCAATTTCCTTTGCACATGTACTTGTGGAGTGAATGAATGAATGAATGAATGGGCAACCAACTTATACAAGTCCCCAACTGCCAGGTGAAGGGTCTGGGGCCTCTGTGCAGGCAGTGTGTGGTGATTAATTTCATGTGTCAACCTGACTGGGCCACGTTATTCTGGATGTGTCTGTGCGGTTGTTTCTGGGTGAGATTAACATTTAAATCGGTGGATGGAATAAAGCTGACTGCTCTCCCCAATGTAGTGGGCCTCATCCAATCAGGTGAAGACTTGAATACAGAAAGCTGCCTCTCCCACCAGTAAAAGGAAACCCCTCCTGCCTTGCTGCAAGAGCAGAGACATGCTTTTTCTAATTTCAAACTCCAAAATGGGCTCTTCCTGACTAGAGTAAGGGGCTAACCCTCCTGTGAATAAAAAGAATTTCCTCCTGCCTGACCGCCTTGAGCTGGATATTGGTTAAAAGTGACCTGTCCACCTCCTCACCATGTGGTGAGTGATATTCCCTGTGTCTGCTAGAGCAATCTGGAGACTGCCAGAATTCTAGGTCAGAACCTCAAAACTCAGAACCCTATGGTTACAGTTATTTTTAAGTTCAAAAATGCTCTTCGACAAGTCACCATCAATTTGCACACAAGAACGTGTTAAATATGTCATAAGGACAACACATCCCCCCATGATGCTTCCAACTTCTACAGACAGGAATTATCAAGAATATCAGGCAACGACATATGGCCCGATATTGAGAAAAATAAAAGTGACACAGCAAAAGCAGCTAATCTGAGGCCACAAAGCTCTAACAGAATTTGCAGCCTCAGGTGATGACTTGCTTCTCTCCAGGGCAGCATCATGTACTCAAGACTGTGGATCCTCTCTGGTCCAATGGAACCAAGGCCCGGACAGTTTTAAGAGACTAGGAGAACTCAATAGGCCCAGGAACAGAGCAGGGTCCCAAGGACCTCACAAGCCAATCATCACAGCAGACTTCTCTGGAAAGCCTGGCTCACGGTAGAAAGAAATTCTGAGCTGCACTCCATTAGAACATGTAGAACATGCTAGGAGCAAGGAACACCAAACACCTGGGCACAGTAAAGCTTGAAATTCGGGTTGAAATGACCTTTCTTCTTTCACACATTGTCATGGAGGTAACAGACCACGCACAGTTCAAATATGTCCACAGAGAAATGGAACTAATGCTTACAACTGGTTATTCTCATCATATTTCCTGGCTCTTTCAGGTTTTCTTTAATGACTGCTGTACTTTTATAACTCAAACCTTAGAGAAGACAGCAGTCTCCAGTTACACCAGCCTCCTCGAAGCTGTCAGCCACCAGCAGCTGGCGGGCATCACTTTAGTGGCTACAGTCCAGAGGCTCTGGAAGTCCTCGCCCAGAAGGGTGGTGGCACCCTTACAAGCTACAGGAAACTTCTGACCACCCCTTGGGAACAAAAAGAACACCCCCACACAACTCCAGGCACTTCCTAGGTCTCGGCCACCAAGCCTCCCTCCCAGAGGTGGGTCAGAATTCCATTTTTGGTCTCAGATATAAGCTCCAGATAGATTGTTGTTCTAGGAGAATCCTGTGGCAAATGTATGACATAATGAGCCTCTAAGTGCTTGTCCATTTGTATTTAAAAGCCCAGGCCAGGCCATTCCCGTCAGCACAGCTGTGGCAACTGATGGATTGTTCTCATCAATAAGTGCTATGTGACTTTCTGTCCCCAGGCCTACAGAAGGCACCTTGGCTCACCCACTGATAAGCAGTGAGGGCAGGTCAGTCTAGGACAAAATGTTCTAGAGAGGCTACTTCTAAGAGGTTTGGAAAAGAACAGAATTCATACCTTCAGACTTGGCCCGCCCCTCCCCTTTGCTATCCAGCCCCAGCCAAGCCCCCAGCTCCTCCTGAATATTCACACACTCCTGACTGCTCGACTGCTCACACACACTCCTGACTGCTCACACATATCCCTGT